TATTGCTGTTTTCAGCAGAGCTCTTCGCAGACTGTGCAAGTTACTGGCTGGATGACCTTGGGCAAATCGCTGAAACCTCAATAATCTTTTAAAATTTCAGTTTCCTATAGAGTTAGGGATATTAAGTGTACCACCATCATAGTGTTCTCAGAATTACCAGGATTAGTAAAAAATTATTCATACTCTGGCTGTAGAATTTATTTTAATCAACTTTTAGAAAAGACAAATACATCATTTTTCAACACAGTCTTCTTGCTTTTCGATACACTTCGTCAATCTGTCAACAACTTTCATATTCCCTTATTAAAACAATGTTTTAGGCTGAGCTGAGAGCCACAAGTGCGTCCTTGTCTTCACATCAGAGGTGAATCTTCATCCTTGAAGGGCTGATTTCAGGGGACCAAACAGAAAAAAGTCAGATGAAGCAAGATCAGGACTACAGGGAGGATGCTTTTTGTGTAGTGTCAATGGTGTGGGAAGAGGAGTGGAGACATGCCTTGTCATGCAAGATCACAACTCCCTAGTTTAGGCTTTAGCCTATCTCACTGTAAGGAGCACTCTTGAATGTTGAACCTTTTCCCTGATAGTGTTCCAGTACTGGCCCTTGAGAATCCCAGACAACTGTAAGCATCAATTTTCTAGCTGATGGCTGACTTTTGACCATTTTTTTGGGTCAGCAATTGAGGATGCTTCCGTTTCATCCTCTGCTGTTTATTCTCAGGCTCCTAGTGATACATACATGTTTTGTCACCAGTAAAGATTTTTTTTAAAAGAAACTTTTACTTTCCTTTAAGTATTGGTCCAAATTTTATTTGCAAATGTCCCAAGTATTTCTGTTTATGTTCTTCCATGATTTGTTTCAGTACCCATCGCTCACAAATTTTTTGAAATCCAAGTCTGCCATGGATTATTTCATAGGTAGAGCTGGGGCTGATTTACAAATGATTTGTCACAGAATCCACTGTCACTCGTCATTTCACAGGCATGCTCAATGTTGCCATCAGCCATGGACATGGATGGATGTTTCAGTATAACTGGAGTGTGGATAATTGTTGACTCACCCTTGTAGATGACACAGTTTGCATTTGTACTAAGTAATCCTTGTATTCGAGAAAAAAAAAATTAGTGACCATATTATTATTACACAATTCCAAAGTTAGAAAAAAATCTCTCTGCTAATGACTTCCACATTTAAATCTCTGACATGGTACCCTTCTTGGATCTCTCTCTATAAATATCTTCTTGCTATCTCCAATTGAATGTCTAAAAGACCTCTTAAATTTATTGCATGCAAAATAGGTCTTTTCACTTCATCTCTGAAAACTAAGCAGTTGCAAAACCAAATCAAATCAAAATAAAACTTCCTAGTTTTCTCATCTACAAAGTTACTAGGTCAAAACCCCAGAAGTATACCCAGAAGTAAAAAAAAAAAATGTTCCCTACATTTTTATTCTTTAAGGTGGATTTTGGTTTGTTTTAAATGGAGAAAGTTCAACTCATGTAAAAACAATTTAAAAAAGGAAAATAAGTTGAATTCTAAACATCTGAAAAAGACTGGCTTTTCTCTTAGTTATCTGCTAAGGACACTCAGCCAGGAAAGGGTCAGTTCTGAAGTCAAGAGCATGGCTTAACCCTGGGCCCCTTTGCTACTGTGCCATTTTACAAAGCTTATTAAATGGAATTGATTTCTCCTGAAAAGATCTTAAAAGTTCAGTCTCCAATAAAAACACACACACACACACACAAAAAAAACCCCTTCCCTTCCTCGTATTTAATCCATTATCAAATTGTGTTGACTCTAATATACATATTGAATTTCTGTCTCTGTCTGTACGGCTACCTCCCCATTCTAGCCCAAGTCTTCGAAATGGACTCTCCTTGTCTACTTTTCTCACTGCTGTCTCCTCCAGTCCATACTTGCCTCTCCTTCCCGAGAGCCTATTTCACTTTTTATGTCATTTCAGTCATTTCCCATTAAACTTAGAAAAATATGAACTCTAAACCCATTGCAGTTGAGTGTATTCCAACTCATGTTGTTATGTGCAGTGAAGTCATTTCCAACTCATAGCGACCCTGCATAGGGTCCCTATAATTGTTATCGGATACATGTTTTACTTACATTGTAATTTACTGAATTGTTGTTAAGTACCGTGCAGTTGGTTGTGACTCATAGTGACCCTGTACAGGGTTTCTGAGGCTGTAAATCTTTACGGGAGCAGAAAGCCTCATCTTTCTCCTGTGGAACAGCTGGTAGTTTCGAATTGCTGACCTTGAGGTTAGCAGCCTGATTTGTAACCACTACGCTACCAGAGCTCCTTAATACTATCTTCAAATTGTAATGAGTCCTGGTGGCACAGTGGTTGCATGCTTGCCTGCTAACTTAAAGGGCAGTGGTTTGAATCCACCACCCACTCTACTAGAATAAAGATGTGGCAGTCTGCTTGCCATGAGATTTCAGCCTTGGAAATACTATGGGCCATTTCTATTCTGTCCCTTAGGTCACATGACTCAGAATTAACTCAAGGGCATGGGTTTGGTTTTTATCTTCAAATTTTGATTTTTATTTACTACAAATGACACTTTATTACTATGAATAGAAAACCAGTACCACTCATTTTATGTAGAATGTACTTTGGAACTTAAATACAACAACAAAAGTCATTATAAAGGTTTGCTACTGTTCCTTAAATTCTGAGCCTGAGGCTTATTCTCTTTTAACACAGAGATCATAAGATGATAGCACAAAATTGAGACAATGGCTTTCATTTAATCAGCAGGCCAGAAAAAGAACTGAAGTTATTTCCTCACCATGATTCAATGTCATTTAGTGTGTGTCCAGCTACTACCTAAAATTACTTTTAGTCTATTAAGAAAATTGGCCACTGAGATTGTAACAATTCCACAAAGAGATGAGAGCATGCCAAAGACTTTATCTTTTGCATTCTTGTTTATCAGTTATCTGTGTAGAAAAATTAAGAGTTGTAATCAGAAACAAATACACATGTGTTCTTTTATATTATATTATGGAGAAAGTGAGTGTTACGCATATATCCATAAGCATGTAAACTGTTATAAAACTGTGATTTTTAGATTTAGGCAGAAGATGGAGAAGCAGGGCAATGCCCACTGTACCGATCCAGATACACCACATCTAACTGATACAAGTCAGTTTGGTGCCATTTAGCTCTGGCAGCATACTGGTTATGAATTGGGCTGCTAATCTCACGGTCAGCAGTTTGGAACTACCAGCTGCTCCGCGGGAGAAAGATGAGGCTTTCTGCTCCTGTAAAGATTTACAGCCTCGGAAACCCAAGTATAGGGTTGCTATGAGTTGGAACTGTTCTCCACAGCACATAACAACAAAAAATATTAAAAATAGTCAGTTTCTTTTTAAAATATAAAGGGGGAAGTTTCTAGAAGTAGACTTTTCCTTGACTTAATGTTTAGGAAAGGCCCCTTGGTAGCATAGTGTTGTGCTGCTAACCGCATTGTCAGCAGTTCAAATCTACCAGCTGCTAGATGGGAGAAAGATGAGTCTCCTGCTTCTGGAAAGATGTACAGCCTCTAAAACCCTACACACTTTGAGTCAGAACTGACTAGATGGCACATAAACTACCACCACCATTATTTATGATTTAAAAATTTGGTAACTGGTGCTTAATTTTCATCTTTTCCTTTACTAAATTTCAATATTCTCAGAGCTGTAGTAATGAGACATTATGGTTAATGTAAAGCTCCAAAATCAAGATTAATGTGCTTATTTTATACTGGTAATAAAATATTTAATTTCTTTAGCAGCATTTAATCTTTTTCTTTTTCAATTTTTTTCTTCATGGTTTAAGTCTTATACTTCAAATTTGGCCTTTCAAGTTGATCCTGTATTTCACTGTGTGGTGTATTGGCTATGGCATTATAGGATAAGCACTGGACTGTAAGGTTTGTTTGAACCACAAGGTTGGTGGTTCAAACTCTCTAGTTGCTCCTTGGAAATCCTATACAGGGTTGCTAAGAGTCAGAACCGATTCAACGGCACTTAACAATTCTTTGTTGGTTTTTATTTAGTGATATATCCCATTAACCAGAAACAGAGCTTATGCTGTATCTTTCTTGCTTGGGCTAAATTTGGTATAAACAAATTACAAAAATAATAATTAAAAAAAGCAGCCCTGATAATATTGCACAGCAGTTTTCAAAAGAATGAATTAAATGCAGATCTGATACAGAAGGCTGCATTATGTACTACTAAGTGCAAAAGCAAATTTGCCGTATGAAGCGTACAATGATAATAAAAGGAAAAGACTCTCTCTTTAACAAGAATATACTTTTAAAACGAGCAGGACTTAAAGCACACAAGGGTACATATTAGGATGTTAATTCTGTTTACACCTGTGTCAGTGAAGTAAGTGTAGAAACGACAGCAGAAAATTGTTGTTAAAATATTTTTTTTTCTTTTTATACCAATTATCTTATTTTACCTTTGAAATAATTTTTTGAAGAGAATTTAGTAAACTGAATTAAAAATATAATCTGGATACAAAATGAATAGCCTTTTAGTGAGGATTTTCACATAAAGATGTAAGGCAGGAGTGCTGTACCATCTTTAATTTCAATAAAGGATGCTATTTCATGAAGCCAAATTGCATTTTTGAAAGCAATAAATAATCCACAAAGAAAACAAATGTGCAGGTGGTTTCCATCAGAAACACATAATACCTTAAGGCACTTTTTTATGTGCAACAAGAATACAATTATTACAGTTTAAAAAATAGTTTCAATGAACAAAACAGACAAAAAATTGAACACTATGTAGCACAATGAACACTTTCTACTTTCTTAAAAAAAAAATACTGCAGTGTCATGGAAGGAGACTAATATTTACCTGAAGAACAAACTTCAGTGAAGTTTTTAGTATTCATGGATTTTATAAAAACAATATTATCAGAGATACATATAAAATAATCATTTACAAAAATTGAATTTCCTTCTTGAAAAACAATCATTTACAGGCTTTTATTTTGAAATAAGTTTGAATTTGATGATCTCAAAACCCCAAGTATTTCTGGGTAAGGTTGAAGACCCATTTGCTTGTTATCTTTCAGCTTTTGTACTATAACTTTGGCAAATTCTTCTCCTTGTATGTCAGAGGTGTCTAGTAATTGTCTGACTTTTGAGGTCCTTGTAGGTTTGGTACTAATAAGTTCATAGTCCTCCTTCATAATCAAATCCCTTGACAGAAGGGCATCCAGTGATTGGTTAAGGCAGGCTTCAGTCATCTGGCTGACAATGTCTTCCCTTTTACTCTGGATCCACTGTTGGGCTACACCTGGCTGTAGTCGCACTGTAGACGAGCAAGGGACGACAGTTAGAAAGGTGAGGGAAGATACACAGCAATGAGGGAAACTACATGAAAAGGAAATATGACATAAAACCTAGTTTTTCTATGATTTTGTTGATACAGAATAATACTTTTGGGAATGATACTGATCACTAGAAATAATCAGAGATTTGGGTTATCTTATCTCCTCACTGTCCTTGAGAAAGTGCTGTCTTTGTGTATATGTGAAGTCAATGATTTAATATGTCTCTTCTAGCCTTAGTCTTATAATTCCAACCAAACAACTCTTCCTGATGGAGAAGACACTGATAGGATGATATGATGCAGCTGTAGATGTAATTTTGAAAACTTGAAATTCTAGCATGGGTTTAAAATCAACCATCTCAGAAGCAGGAGGGGGAACTTGCTACTACCAAAGAAGAGTCAGGTGTGTAGTGAATCCTCTGGGCCCCAACACCTGTGCATTGAACTTCCTCAACCCAGGGACAGAAAGCTGAGATACCAGATGTGTGGCAGAGGAGCCGCAGCACCAAGAACAGAGGATAAGACAGTAGTGGGCTTCCTACCCCACAGAGCAAGTAAAGTTGAGTGACTTTGGGCAGGAGGCTTCCTTGTAGAGTTCCTCCAGGTTCTTAATTGGGGGAGCTAGGTTTGCTAACTCCTGGAGCTAGAGCCGAGTTCCTTCAGGCTGAGGCTTATGGTGGGGTGGTGTGCCCTATGGGTATTTATCAGCGTCCTAAAAGCGCTTTGTAAACGGCCAGGCAGAGAGAAGATTGCCTGTGGGTATGACTAACGAGAGGATGTCCTGTCTGGAAGAACTCTGCTCAGACTATTTCTATTCCTGAGTTGTAACCTATTAACTTCCCCAATAAACAACGTAACTGTGAGTATGATGCCTGAGTTCTGTGTGGCCATTGCAATGAGTCATCAAACCCAGCTGAGAAGTAGAGTGCTGTAGGAGGGATGTTGTTGTTGTTGTTGTTGTTAAATGCCTTCGAGTCGGTTCCGACCCATAGCGACCCTGTACAGGGTTTCCGAGGCTGTAAATCTTTACAGGAGCAGAATGCCTCATCTTTCTCCCACGAAACAGCTGGTAGTTTCGAACTGCTGACCTTGTGGTTTGCAGCCCGATTCATAACCACTACGCTACCAGAGCTCCTTTAGTTCATATTAATTTTTGCAGTATGTGCTATAAATCATGGGGCAAAATTCACTTTATTGGCTACAGGCTTTTGTTTTTAAATACAAGGAATGCCTATATGTTTGCTAATTAAAAAACAAAACAACAAAAATCTTTGCCTTTATAAACAGATTAAATAGCATCTGTCCTTAGGACTCCCTCCACAGTGAGACGTTCACAGGAAACCCTTTGGGCCTCTTATTATATGCCAGTATTTTTATCTTTTAGGATTTGGAAGTACTTTCCTACTTTAGAATATATTTAGTACCAAATTGAGGATATAAAGACAAATAAAACTTATTGTATGTTAATAAATTTGAAATATATGTGGGGAGTAAATGGCATCACTTACAAAGTGTCTAAATATTTACCTGAATATTCCTCAATTGAAAGTAGATTTGTTATCACTGATGAGCATGGGGTGGTCTTGTGATCACAGAATGTAGTCTTAGCCTCAGAAATGTTACTTTCCCAACTATGATTTTCTGACTGGTGATATAGCAATGAATAATCTTGAGGTTTTCCTATAAAACACAATATCATATTCTTTAGATATTCTTAGTAACTAAAATAAGAGAATATGTGTCATACAGAGGCTAGACCCCCATGTCTTTAATTTTTCACTGCTATTAAAGTTTGTTAAGAAACCTACTTTTGCAAATAAATATTTTTCTAACAAAAACCTTTCTACGAAATAATTTTTTCTATTTTTGTCTGTTCTATGCAAACTGTCATGTAAATCACAAAATTTTACTCATTCACATAGTCTTTGATGTCTTCATTTATGTCTTCTTCCTATTTCTGCATTTTAGAAGTCTCCTCTAACTCTGTAACATATGACACGTGTTTATCTACACTTGTTTCCTTTGGTAATCCTATTCACCTTCAGAACATCAATCATAATCTCAATTTCCAAATCCAAGTCGTCTTTATTTTCCATCTTTCCTGCACTTCAGTCTTTGTAGCATTCCACTGGACAACATACCTATACTCCCAGTTAGCACCTCAAATAATAATTTAAAAAATCACAAGTTATTCATTTTAACCCTAAAATCTGTTTTGATTTTAATTTTTATTAGCAGAAGCCATGTTCTTCCAGTCACCAAGCCTCATTAGTAAACATTCAGTTTACCCTTTTTCTTTCTTGTCCCTCCTACAAGTGAGAAATTACAGAGTTTGAGTGCATCCTCCAGAGCTTCCCTTTCTCCTCATGAGGACCAGTGAGACATGCTTTGTAGGATGTACTGATAAACTTTACAGCTTTCATAAACTCTGGATTATCTTTGTCATAATCTTTCCTTGCACTGCAGTAATAGTCTCTGCACCTCATGTCTTGTTTTCTTACCACAATATCCTACATATTTCAGCCAGGATGACTCTTCTTAGAGCAGGAAATTCTTATATCACACCCCTCTTCAAAAATGTCAAACAGTCTTTCCCCACCCACATAAAAAAAGTCCAAATATCTTAGTTAAGTGTTAGAATTTTCTATGAATTCTCCAACCTACTTTTCTAACCTTATTTTCCTCTTTTATTAATCCTTTAACCGGCTAAACCAAATTGCCCACTGTTTATTTATTGCCTCTATAATGTTCTCCTTTTCTGCAATGTCGATCCTTTGTAAGGCCAACCTTAAGCCAGAAATAATTTCTTCATGATGAAAACATGCTGTAGTAGGTTGACATAGTATCTGTAACAGACAACCTAACTTCAAGTCTTGGGTCTGCCAGCTCTGTGATCCAGAAGCTTCTTAATGTATAAGATGAGCGATTATCTAGCTGACAAATGGTTATGAAATTTCTTTTGTAAAGAGTGTTACTTTTCTTATGTACAATTGTAGCTCTACATTCATAGTTCTCCCACAACGCATCACTTCTCATTTTATACTATGCTATTCAAAAACATTTCCCCTCTTCCTTATAGATTTTTTTTAATCCTTTCTACAGTATTTGACACAATAGCTTTAATGCTTCTTATATCTGTTGCACATCCTACCACTGTTGCCTTATCTTTAGACCCTGTTACCTTCTGAGAAGGAGTTATGCATGCAAATGAAAGACATGCTCTATACAAACCATGACTACTTCCCAACAATATGATATGTAAAGGGAGGAAATAGAAAATGTGCAAGTCAGTACTGACTTGAATATCTACGTACCAGATAAACAATGATTGTCTTGAGGAGTTGATAAGGACCTTGAGGTTCTAGGAGAGCCACTACTTTTATGGAGTTGAGAGGATCCACATGATTCCTAAAGTGAACGGGGAGAATAAGGTTTAGGTTAATTTAAAAAACCATAAAAAAGTTATTCAACTTTAATTTATACAGAGTTCTCACTTTTGGTTTGCTACAAACCAAAAATCAAAACTATTATAAATTATATCTTACAAAATTTATAAATACATATAAAATAATCAATAAACATAAACTGAATTTTTTCAATATTTTCTACATGTTCTCAGAGCTTCTCTTCAGTGGCTAGAATAGTGGATGAGGAATTTGAAATCTGCAACACTGCTTACTTACTGGTTGAGAGGAAATGCTTGCTTCCTTCAACCTAAAAGAGTAGGAAACCAAGGAAAAGTTCTGGAGAACCTGGCTTCACTCTTGGCTCTGTCATGGAATTACCAACTAACTGGACAAGAAATTTAAATGCTCTCAAGTTCTTTGTAATATCTATCTAAAAATATATCTACATGGGCTGAAGGTCAAATGAATGAATGCATGTAAGGGTGACTCAAAAACCATGTATCATTTAGCTTTGATTATTTTTCTGAATCTGTAAAGTGAACGTATTTTATGGAGTTTGAAGAAATGCCTAATATGAAATAAATCTAAATGAATGATACTAAAGGAATAGTTCCTCTCAGTCACAAAACTGGCCGTTTCCTTTTACTAACTGTAGTAAGATGTAAGAACAGGACAGCAGTGCCTAAGCTATGTTACACTGGATAAAGAGTCATAAAATACCACTGATTATATAGAATGACAGAAATCAATATCAAAATCAGCAGTGACTTCATTGGATGGGATGAACAATGAACTGGAAACCAGGAGAGATGGGTTTCAAGTTGGAGACTGACAGGGGCTACTTACATCCTAAACCCTCCCAGGGCTTTAGTTTCCCAACTAAACAACAAGGGGTTACAGTAAATGAATTATTATATTCTCTCATTTTAACATTATCACAACTTTTTTTTTTTTACCTCCTGTGGACTATGATTAACAGGACTGTTCAGAGAGAAATCCATTTCCTTCTTGTTACATAGGAGAACAGTACTTGCATTACTCTGCAGCAAAAATGAATATATAAATGTATATTAATTGGAGGTGATTAGAACATTACAGAAGTAAAATACATTCTACCTAATCATATTTTATATTTATATAAAATCAATGGAAAGAAAATTAAATCAATTGAGGATACATTACTTATGGTAGAGACAGTGTAGACTAGGGGAAAAAACTTTAAAGATACACAATCTTGAATTCTGCCTCTTATTATTGGTTACCTCAAACAAATGATTGTTCTCTCAGAGTCTCTAGATTTCATATGTAAAGACAGAAAAATATCTACTTGCAGGACTGTTTATAGGGGTAAATTGAGATAATGTATATAGCATGTCTATTATCAACATGGTATTTTAAAACACTGCACTTTGTGTGTCTGCCTATCAATAATGATTGAGCATGTACTGAGTGTAAGGCATTTGTGCTTGTATGCATTACTAGTATTTTCATTTTATAGAAAACAACTGGAGGCAGTATGTCATAATGGAACAATGGGGACGATGCATAAGGTCTGGTATAAAATCTCAGAATACCTTGAAGAAGAAGACAATCTCAGTTTACTATCTATAAATGGAGGTAATAATACCTATTTTGCAGGATTATTGTGAGAATTAAAAAAAGTCCTAAGATTACTAAGCATTCAATAAAAAGTGGCTCTTATAAAAATGATGATTTATTTAAATACTGTACATTTGTTTTGAAACCAGTGAGGCCTCTGTCCCTGTAAGTCAGGCTTAAATTGGTTGCCATCAGTGGTGAGTGATTTGCTAGCCAGGTCAGCATAATACCAACTACTTTTTACAACTGGGAGGGTCAACAATCCCTCCAATGTCTTCCTATTCCATTGTGGATAAGAAACTTTGATTCATCTCTGTGCATAATATACTTAGTATAGTATTTACACAGAACATTTCAGTGAATATTTATTAACTATATTTTTACATGAACCTCTAAAATTAGTCTTCAGGTTTATTACGCAACGTTTTCCTATGCTTATAAAATCCACTAAAATATCTTTAATAATACAATATCCTTGACTAGTCATAAAGGTTTTAAAAAACTGTCAACAATCCTTTGGAAAAAAATGAAATGTAATATTAAGAAAATATCTGGTTTTGGTTTAGTTTGTCCTATTCAAAGCAGAAAATGTTATTTGAAGAAAACATAAAGTATAGAAGTTGGTTCAAAGAATTGAAAAAAATATAAGAAACTTAAAATAAGTAATCTTAAATGGCAATCTTTGTTTTCAGAAATGGCTTTATGAAAAATGTTAAATTTGTATCCTACTTTTGGCTCTGTCACTAGCTAGCGATGTGGCATGTATATAATTGACTAATGTCCCTATACCCTTGTTATTGCAACTGTGAAACGAAGTTGATATCCTACCAGGTTCATAGACCTGAATAAAGATCAAGAAAAAAGAACAAAACAAAACAATTCTATGCATGCACACCAATATTCAGTGCAGCACTATTCACGATAGCAAAAAGATGGAGACAGCCTAAGTGGCCATCACTGGAAAATATGTAAACAAATGTTGGCATATACACACAATGGAATACTATGCTACCTTGAAGAGTAACAATGAAGCTGCAAAACACCATTTAACATGAATGAACCTTTAGAACATTATACTGAGAGAGGTTAGTCACAAAAGGACAAATATTGCATGAGACTATTATTGTAAGAACTTAAGAAAAGATTTCCAAACTAAAAGAAAAATTCTTTGATGGTTACCAGGAGTGGAGGGAAGGAAGCAGTAATTCACAGGTTAGAGGTAGAGACACAATAGCTCAGGTGACAGGGAGGGCAATATATAAGAAGGGGGAGGAGAGTGGATGAACAAGGAAGGTAGGGGAAGTTGTAGGGAGGTATTTATGGGAAATGAGATAGAGGTAAATAGTGATGTATATGCAACCTTGAACAACAGGGTTCTGTGATACAGGGATCTAGACATAGTCTGAATGGGTAAATAAAGGAAATTAATGTAAAGGTGCTTGACTGTCTTGTGGATGTTGGTTTCCCTTGCCTTCTATTGTAAAACAGACATTTAAGTGTGATAGAACGGAATATTGGGGATTATGATTACAGAAAGCTTATGAGCCTGTTTTCAGCCTAGAACTGATTGGATTAGCTAAAAGGTAAATTAGAATTTGCCAAGGGAAGTAGGCTTATTGTTAAGCCTTTGTGGAGCATGAGGCCTTATGTGGAATCCTGACCCCCACTCAGAACCTTCTGAGGTGGGACATTCCTACTGAAAAAACATGCAGACCAATCTGGAATGGTTAGAGGAATAGAAGATATTTCTTGAAAGAAAGACCAATAGAAAATAAGCAGACTGTTTGGCTGTTAGAATATCAAACCAGCTGATTGCTTTGGCAAGGCAAGTAAAGTCAGGGTAAACCCCTTTTAAGACTGAAACTCAAAGGGAACACATGAGTAGTCTTGTATGCTCTGGGTGACTTCCCTGGTCTACTTGTGAGGGGAAGTAGGGGAAATGCAGCAATGAACACATGGACTGAGTTTGGCCACGTTCCATATACACCTGTTGACCTTGAGAAGATAAGAGAAGAGGAACAGTTGGTTGGTCTGAAGTTTAGGGAGACAAGTGAACTCCTGAACCCAGGGACACTGACCTTGTCACTGGGGGCTATAGTTGAGAGTGAAGTGGCCAGATGGTCTGAAGTGAGGGGAGGTGGGCGAGAACTCCCATATGACCTAGCTTGGATGGCTTACTGACCAGAACTCGACCAGGTGAAGATAAAAAAGTATGATACAGGAAGAAAATGTAAACTGCTGTAATCTGATGAACTGAACCTTTGCTTATGAATGCAGTTGTTCAAAATTTCAACTGCAAGGGAAAAACTTCATATCAAGTATCAAGCTTGCCTCCTCAGATTGATAGGGACGGGCAACTTAGACACTGGCTATCAAAAACGTGTGGATAAAAACCACCATGTGGTTGGCTTACAAGCTTGTTGATTGTGCTTAGTTTTAGAATGAGGAGACTAAGGTAGAATCTCCACTGAATAATTTTCCGCTTTTCCATATGGATCTAATGAAAGGGGTGGGGGAGGATGGGGATAGGATTTTATGATTCAATAGTGAGTACTTGTTTATCAGGACTAACTGTGATTGTCACAACTGTAAATGTAGAAGATGTGTACTTAAATGGGGGAATAGTTCATCTTTCATTTCAGGAACAGAGGACCCTGAAATGGGAAGAGGGAAGAGCATGAATGGAGCATGGGGTCCTAATCAGAAAAGTGGCAACAGCAGAGGCAGTGGCAGAGGCGATGGCATACAGAGATAGAGCAGCTCAGGACTCTAGGCCCGTGGACTGAGAAGGGCTGTGTGTGTGCCTGTGGGCAGGAGGCTGTTTTGCAAAGTGTGCCCTTTGGACATTTAATGAATATATATTTTCTGTTTTATATGTATATATCACAAAAAGTAAAAAAAAAAAAATAAGTAAATATTGTTAACATGGTACACAGAGGGGACTGTGATCATTGCAGTGAAGCAAAATATGATTTATTGAGTGTAAAACTGATACTTTGCCCTGCAAACTTTCACTCAATTCACAATAAAACAAAAACAAAAAAATAATTCTAAGTGAAAATATGGTGACTTGAAACACTGAAGATCAGAATGCTATTACTAAAGTATTTAAGACACTTTACTAAAGTATTTGAAAATACAAGCTTTAAATTATGTAAAACGCAAGTTCTTTGAAAAACTAGCCATCTTAAATAGACTCTACTGTTTTAAGTTTCTGGGGAATAAAAAAGGAACTGAATGGTTCTCTTCCACTTCATAATGAAGAAAACAGATTATTTTGTCTACCTTTGGCAAAAGAGAATAAAATAAGAAAGTTGTGAGGAGAAAAAGGATAAAGCAAAAATATTATTAATATTATTTAATCTTACTATTTATTTCATTTACAGAAAAAAATGCTCAAGTACAGGTTGCAGGATGGAAGGAGATTATTAATATTATTTAAAATATTATTAATATAGAAGTGGAGAAATTGAAATGTATCAAAGAGTACACATACTCAGAAGTGGGGAAGCTGATAAAGAAGTATCAGAATAACTAAAACATGGTTCCTCTTTAGTTTCTTCTAAAAAGCAGGCGTTAATGTTGCCAGCATCCACTTTTCCTTTGGTTAAAGATAGCTGTCTCCTTTAGGTACTTCCCTTTTTAAACCAAAGGTTATGTAAAGAGATGCAGGAAATAGCAAGGGCCATGCAATACCATTTAGTCAGAGGCTACTAACCTAACGGTTGGTGGTTGGAATCTACCAGCCCCTCTGCAGGAGAGAGATGTGGCAGTTCTTAAAAATGTATAGTCTTGGAAACCCTATGGGGCAAGTTCTACTCTACCCTATCTGGTGGTCATTATGATTCCAGATCAACTCAAGGACCATGGATTTGGTTTGTAAAAAAACAAAAAAAACACAAAACTGTACATTTTGCTTGTTCACAAATGAAAAGTTTGGCTAAGCTGATGATTTTCATTATCATATAACAAATGCAATTTAATGACACCTGGCACATGATAAACTGTGCTTACTTAATCCCTAATAGACCATTACTACTTCTTAAACAACTTTAGATAACATTAATAAAAATCCTTTCATAATCCCATCACACTGATTCAAACTCATAAAGACCTTAGATCCCTTCAATTGTTCTGACCTACAAGTACAAAATCAAATAAATGAGACAACTCTCCTAGGTAATTTGTATCGATTGCTTCTTTTGTCTATGCATTAGAAGTGTGAGAATGAAATAATACAAAAACAACTAAAAGCATACATAGTTTGGCCTGAATTAGTAATAGAAATTCTAAAGCTTATTTTGGGAACAAATCTTAGAATACACAAGTACAATAAACAGAAGTGCAAAAGCCTGACACCTATTAATTGGTAAGTATTAAACTTTATAGATATAAATGTGTATTTTAAAATCTAGATCCAGGGCCCTTACTGTACACAGTCAATATTCACTACTCATTTTAAACTTTAATTTGATAGATGAGCGTTCTACAAAGGTCTGTGAAATCTAAAGCTGGCCATTTGAATAAAATAGAAAACGGTTTTGGTGGCAAAAGATAGTATTCATAGTCTCGGCTAAGCTCTCCTCCCCAAACTGTAGCCTGCATCTATGAAAAGTATATATATAAAAACAAAATAAACTAAAAATCTCTACAGGTAGTTATGGATTAAATTGTGTGTCCCAAAATATGTGTTATAAACCCTAACCCCTACACCTATGGTTAGAATTCTGGTGTGGTGCTTCAGGATAAGCACTGGACTACTAACTGCAAGGTTAGTGGTTCAAAACCACCAGCTGCTCCTCAGAAACCATATAACACGGTGCTATGATTCGGAACAGAGTCAACAGTAGTAGGTTTGCTTTCATTAGTGGAGTGTGTGTATCTTAAGTCAATTTCTGTCTCTCTTCTTTTATTGTAGTTTGGGTGAAGGTTTACAAAGGACATTACTGTTGTTGTTAAGTGCCGTTGAGTCGATTCCAACTCATAGCGATCCTGTACAGGGTTTCCAAGGAGCGGCTTTACCACAGTGCCTGCCACACCAGGACTCCACAAAGTACTTTAGTTTTCCATTTAACAATCTTCAGTCAATCTTATTCAAGATTTAAAAAGAACAGATTGAGCAAGCAAGTAAAGACTGGGGATGACAGATGCCATGCCACTTGAGAGCTTCAAGAAAACAAGAAACAGAAGTTGAAAAGAGACAGAAGAGCTAAGAGAGAGAAGGCCTTCCCTTGAGCTGGCACTCTGAATTTGAACTTTTAGCCTCCTAATTGTGGGGGGAAAAATTCTGTTCATTAAAGCCACCCACTGTGATATTTCTCCTATAGCAGGACTAGATAACTATGACAGGAAGCAATGTAATACTTAAAAGTTCTAATTTCCATTTCATTTGGCAATTTACCTTAGTTTTCTTTAGTTGAATAACAGCTTCAAGAAAAGTTATCTCATCAAATGTTCTCAGAATTGGTTCAAATTCTATTAAGCATTCTAAATAAAGAAATAAAAATACAACTTCAGTTTAGACTGCTTATACTCATTAAACAGAAAATATAAATGCTAACACTGAACTGATAAGGCTTCCAGTCAATTCTTCCTCAAGCATTCAGCTGTCGTAAGAACCTTTAATACTGGCATAAGGATAACAGCTAGATCAATGGAACAGAATTGAGAGTCCAAAAATAAACCCTTAAAATTATGATCAATTGATTTTGGACAAAGGTGCCAAGATAATTCAGTGGGGGGAAGGATAGTGTATGCAACAGATGAAGCTAGGAAAATTGGATATCTACATGCAAACAGGTGAATTAAGACCTTTCCTCACAGTTATAAAAATAAACTCAAATTGGATCAGGGCTAAATATATATAAAGCTAAAACATTTTTAGAAGTAAACACAGAAGAATATCTTCATGCCCATAATTTCTTAAATTGAATATTATAAGCATGATACAGAAAAGAAAAAAAAGTTGTAAGTTGGACTTCATAAAAATAGAATACTTTTTGTTTCAAAATACTATGTTAAAATTAAAAAAAAAAAATTATTATTTTTAATTATCCCAAGCCACAGACTGGGAAAATAGATTTGCAAATCATGTATTGGCTACAGAACTTGTATCTATAGCTTACAAAGAATTCTAGCAAATCAGTAATAAGACAACTAACCCAATTAAAAAGATGCAAATAGTTATTTCCCCAAAGAAGATATACAGATGGCTAAAAAGCACACGAGAAGATGTTTGATATCATCAGTCATTGTTAAGTGCTGTTGCATTGTTTCTGACTCATATCAAACCTGTACAGGGTTTCTGAAGAGCAGCTGGTGGGTTTAAACCACTGACCTTGTGGTTAGCAGTCCAGTGCTTATCCTATGGTGCCACACCAGGACATCAGTCGTCGTTGTTCTTGTTAAGTGCCATCGAGTCAGTACCGAACTATAGCGACCTTATGCACAGTAGAACGAAACACTGTCCGATCCTGGGCCAACCTCACTAGTGTTGCCGCGCTTAAGTCCATCGATGCTCCCACTTGGCCAATCCATCTCGTTGGGGTCTTCCTCTTTTTCTCTGACCCTCCATCTTACCAAACATGATAACCTTCTCCAGTGACTGGTCCCTCCTGACAATATGTCCAAAATATGAGAGACGAAGTTTGGCCATCTTGGCCTTCAATAAGTACTCTGGCTGTACTTCGTCCAAAATGGATTTATTGGTTCTTTTTGACATTAGGGAAATACAAATAAAAGCCACTTCATACCCACTAAAATGGAGTCCTAGTATGGTGTTAGAACTGTCTGTGAATATTCATCATTTGCTCATTTTTCTTCTTCTAGTCAGTTTCTTGGAGTCCTGGTGTGGTACAGCAGGTTAATGTGCTGGACTGCAAAGTCAGTTTGAACTGCAAGGTCAGAGGTTCAAGCTCATCAGCTGCTCCTTGGAAACCCTATACAGGGCCACTATGGGTTGGAATAGACTCTATGGCACTTAAGAACAGCAACGTTCAGTTTCCAAGAGCGTGGTGTCTTCATATGATAAGCACTGAACTTTGAACCACAAAGTCTGAAGTTCAAGCCCGCTAGCTGCTCCGTGGGAAAAAGATGAGGCTTTCTGCTCCCATGAAGATTTATATAGGGTCGCTGAGTTGGAACCTACTCAACAGTACTTAACAACAGCAATTCAGTTTCTAACTATTTGAATCCCTTAGAGTTCGAATTTGGGCCATTTACTTTTTATCTATATTCTCTCCCTAGGTGGTGGAGGCCAAGACAGGAGTTCACACACGATCTGTGACTCTAAATTTTATATCTGGAGCCCTAGCCTCTCCACTTAGCAACAAATCAGCAAATTGCAGTAGGAATGTAATAAAATACCATTCGAATGACCTATTTATAGATGAGGGAACTGTGGTAACATGAAGGTTAAGCACTTGATTGCTAACCAAAAGCTCAGCAATTCAAACCAACCAGCTGCTTCTATGGGCACGAACACCTGGTGATCTGCTCTCATAAAAATTAGACTAAAAACCCCTATATGGCCATTTTGCTTTGTCCTATAGGTTCAAACTCAACAGTCACTCCTTGGAAACCTTTTCTAGGGTCGCTATGAGTCAGAACTCACTTGATGGCACTTAAAGACAAAACAATAAGTAGCTATGAATTAGAAAAATAATTTAATGGTACCCGAAAACAATAGTTAAATTGAAGAAATAGAAAATATGCCCAAATTTGAACTCAGACTATAGGACTCCAGAGTTCGTGCTGAAATGCAATCAATTATTTACCAGGAATCTACACTTGCATATTCCACAGGCATCTCACATTTCCTTTTTACAAAGTGAAGCTCCGCATTCTACCCTTCTCAATATATTCCTCCTCTGTTTTCTTCATCCCAGTAGATGGTATTAACATGCTAACCTATCTGAGCCTCAGACTTGATTCATCCTGATGCCACCCTTTCCTTCATGCACAGATCTGTTTCCACAGTCTGTTTTTCTACATCTGAACTGTATCTTAATTCTGTCTACTTTTTCAATCTCCAGTACCATCGTAATTAAATTATTCCGGCAGGAGTTCCCTAGCTGTTGTTTTTAGCTTCTTCTGTCCCCTCTAATCAGTTTTCACAAAGCAGCAAGAGTGATTTCTCTTAAACCTAAATTAGATCTTGTTGCTGTTGTTGTTAAGTGCCGTTAAGTCAGTTCTGACCCAGAGCGACCCTGCATAGGGTTTTTGAGGAGTGGGTGGTGAGTTTGACCCGCTAACCTTGCGGTTCAAACCAACTTTGCAGTACAGCACATTAACCCACACCACAGTGTCACACCAGGACTCCTAGATCATGTTACTTGCTTGCAAAACACCTTATGGCTTTCATTGCACTTGGACTATCTAAACTTCTAACAGTCAACAGCCTCTTCCTTATCTTTTCAACCTCATTTCATATTATTCTCTTCCTTGCTCACCATATTGCTACTGCACAGACTGTCTCTTTGTTCCTAGAAAATATCAAACTCGTTCCTTTCCCCAGCTTCAGGGCCTTTGCCCACATTGCTTTCTTTGTCTGAAATGTGAATGGCTGGCTCCTCTTCAAGTTTCCAATCTCAGTTCAAGTGTTTGCAACTAAGAAAGGTCTCTCTTTACCTCTCTCAACTACTCTACTACCTTGTGTATTTCCACATAGTACTTCCAATATATGTATCTTGTATTTATTTTTTCATGTTCTGCTGTTGCCACTAGAATGTGAGCTCCACTCTAGGCTGAGTACTGGGAACACCCTCTTATTTTACAACTACAATGAATAACAGGAGTAAAAAGAACGAAAAACAAAACTTGGCATTAATCATGGAACAAGTGTGACTCAAAAAGGCATATTCTGCTCATAGTATATTAGCGGATTCTGTAATTCAAAAGCTTAGTATTAAAACTGTACACTCACTTAAGAAAGATGGTCTTTCATCTGGATTTTGTGCCCATCCACTTTCTATTATAGAGATCATAAGCTCTCGGTGAGGTATATCAAATGGTAAATGTTCTTCATTAATGTCAGGACGATGGCCCTGCGACACACTATACATAATCTGTAAAGGATTGGTGACTTCTGTCAAAACAGAAACATTTTATTCATTAGAAATATATTATGAATCAATATATTAAATGCATTCCAAGTCAACTGAATGAAAATGAAGGAATCTTACCATTTTAGTAGTATTATGCAACTCCCTTCCTAAAGGAGGAATATATATATATATATATATCCCAGCTGCTGTCATATGACTTGCTTACTTCCCTTATGATGCATGTATCTATTCACCTTATTAATTTACTTTGGCCATTTTAAGCAGTGCAGAGCCACATAAAACCTAGCAGAGTCAGGACCACAGCAACTAGTATGATAATGTGAGTGAGAAATAAATGTTTACTTTGTAAGCCACTGAGATTTTGGGGTTGTTTGTTAAATAGCAAGCTGACCTATACAAATCTCAAGCAACAACAATAAAAATAATATTATCAAAGTATTAAAAGGACACATTTTTCTGTCTACATTTTTTGGTCCTATACATGGAGTACAAATTACATGTTCATATAAATAGTTTTATAGCTGAAATAGACAATACTAATTTTAAGGTCTCAATTTACAGTAAAAAAAACCTGAAGACTCAAGAGATCGAGTGGCTTGACCACAGAGGTAATTCCTGTTAGAAAACCAATTAAAATCCATGTTTTTCTGATCCATAATCCAGTACACTGTCCAATACTTGTTGTTAAGTGCCGTCGAGTCAATCCCGACCCATAGCAACTCTGTGTAGGGTTTCCAAGGAGCAGCTGGTGAGCTTGAACTGCCAACCTTGCAGTTCAAATGGCTTTGCAGTCTGGCACCCACAGCGCCATACCAGGACACCAATTTATCAAATACTATTCTACTAAGTATCAAATACTATTCCAATACTTAGTGGAATAGTATTTGATAAATTGATGGTTTAATGTTGTGTTTTTAACAAAATAAATGGTAGGAAGATATAAAACAAGATGAGCTTTATATGGTTTTCAATGTGGTCAATCAACGTCATGTTACCTAGAATAAGGAAGTCCAAGTACACTTACCTTCAAAAGGCTGTTTTCTGGATAAAACTTCCCATGTGATAACTGCAAAGCTGTTTAAGATTTTAAAAAAAAAGAAAAGTTCAATGCTGTAGAGTTGGTTCTGATTCACAGCGAACCAGTATAAGGTTTCTGAGGAGCTGCTGGTGGCTTTGAACTGCTGGCCTGGAAGTTAGCAGTCCAGTGCTTATCCTACAGTCATTCCAGAACTCCAAGAATAAAATATACATACTAAATATTATAAACTAAGCACCATAAACTAAAAAAAGAACATTCATTTAAAAATCTAACTATGGAGATGCCATTTTTTAAAGCGATAAGGTAGTTTTGGTGTAGTGAATTGTTCAAAGTGTCTCTTCTAGCCTTAGTCTTTTTAATTTCCACATCAAACAATTCTTTTTCTGAAGGTTCTGAGTAAGAGAAGGTGGGAGAAGACACTGGCAGTATGACAAGATTCAGCTGTGGATGTTACCAGAGTTAATTGTAATTGTGAAAACTTGGAACTTTAATGTGGCTTCAAAATGAGTCATCTCAGAAGTAGGAGGGGGAATCCAACTACCATCAAAGAGGAAGAGTCAAGGGTGGATGGATTGCATCCTTTGGACTACGAGATACCTGTGCAATGAACCCTTCGACCTAGGGACATAAAGCTGTGGCACTGCAGGAGTGTCACTGAAGTAGTAGCAGCATAAACAAGAACCAGAGCAGGAGACAGAGCTGTGGGCTTCCCAGGCCAAGCAGCGAGTAACGCTGAGTGATTTGGGGCAGGAAGCTTGCTTGTAGAGTGAGATGCATCTAGACACTATATTGAGGGGGATAGGCATGCTGATCCATGAAGCTAGCACTGAGTGTTCTATGGTGGAGCAGTGTGTCCTATGGGCATTTATCAGCAGCCGATTGGAATAACTGTGCCCTGAACATTACTGATCCCGAATTATAACCTGTTAACTTCCTTAATCAACTCAGAACTGTGAGTATAGTATGAGTTCTGTGTGGCCACTGCAACAAATGATTGACCCCAGCTGAGTAGAAAGGACTGTAGTTGGTGTTATATTTTTGTAGTTGTGAAATACGACAAAAAGAATCACCCAGAAAAACTAACATAATGAATGCTCATTTGTGATTTTGTTTCAAATTGATGCTAATTTAAAAAATTTAGGAATAACTGTAGTATGCTTGATTACACGCAAGGATATCTTGTTGGGGATGATTAGTCATTCTTGAACACCTAGATAAGCTATGCTTTCTATATAGCTTGATAATTCAATTATTCACTCAAAATAATAAGCAATAAAAAGACTGTCTCCTGTAGCCTACTGTATTTTTTTCCTGATTTTCTTTGATAATGAAACTATTCTTTCTGCAATTTAATTTCAGTTGTCAGTCACTTGGTGAAGTAGCATAGACTTTCTGTTGTTAGGTGTCATCAAGTCAGTTCTGACTCAAAGTGAACCATGTACAACAGAATAAAACACTGCCGGTCATGTGCCATCATCACAATTGTTGCTCTGTCATAGTGCATTGTTGCAGCCACTGTATCAGTACAACTTATTGAAGGTCTTCTGCTTTTTTGCTAACCCTCCACGTTGCCAAGCATGATGTCCTATTCGTGATATCATACCCAAAGTATGAGAGACTTTGCCATTATCACTTTTAAGGAGGAATTTGGCTATATTTCTTTTCCTTTCTTTCTTTCTTTCTTTCTTTTTTTTTAACATACTATACAATTCTCTTTATACAAATCATAAGAACAGGCAAAGCTTACAGTGATAGAAATCAGCACAAGTGGTTACTCTGATGGGAAATGGCTAACTGGAAAGGGGCATGAGGGAACTTTCTGCTGTGAATGAAAGGTCCTAGATCTGATTGGACACATTTGTCAAAACTCATCATACTGGACACTTAAATCTATTCCTCAATAGAAGCAAATACCATTGAATGGTGATGCACAGAGGGGATTATAATCAGTGCAGCGAAATGAAATACTGTAGGATAAATGTAAAACCGGTGTTCTCTCATGTAAACTATCACTCAATTTACAATAAAAACTTAAAAAAAAATCATTAATATATATGCCTCGATTTAAAAAAGGAATAGAATGTCTTCCTTAAGCCAAATCTTACCACTTGTTTTTAATTACTAAGTACTGTGAGACCTCTGTCCCCATCCCCTTCTTAATATTGACCTTTTTATGAATATGTGTCTTTGTGCAGTGATTAAAGAACACCAGGCTCTGGACCTGACTGGCTGGGGTGGTACCTGGTCTGTTCCCATAACCTGCTGGGTGACTTAATTTCTCCCCACTTCAGTTTTCCAGCTGTAAAATGGTAACTGCCACTGTCTGGTAGATAAGGATTAAATTAGGTAATGTACGCCAAGCTTACGCTGGATGGCAAGTGCGGTCAAGTCTGTTCCAACTCATAGCAATCCTGTATAAGGTTTCGGAGGTGTGACTGTTGAGTTTGAACCACTGACCTTCAAGTCAAGTACTTATCCTATGGCGTCATATCAGGACTCCATATACTGTGTTGTTGTTGTTGTTATGTGCCGTGGAGTTGGTTCAGACTCATAGCGACCCTGTACAGGGTTTCCGAGTCTGTTAATCTTTACCGGAGCAGAAAGCCTCATCTTTCTCCCGCGGGAACAGCTGGTAGTTTCGAACTGCTGACCTTAAGGT